CCTTCCTTCCTTCCTTCCGCGCCTTCCTTCCACGCCTCCCTCCCTCCCTCCCTGCCTTTTTTCCTTCTTATTCTCTTTTTTCCTCATTATTTTTTTTTCTTCTTCACTTTTCCCTTTTCTGTATTTTGTTCACAACAAACCCCCGGAAAGCCCAACATGTTTTACAATGCCTGTTAATAGTTGCACTTTTTGTATCAGAACAAAGGTGATTAGTGTTGATGGTGAACTTCAAAATACTGGTGCTGAGTTTTSCTGTATTTACTTATTGGAATGGATAACTCCAAACCAAAATTAGTGGATGGAGTGGGAATGAGCATGAAGTGTGACACTATTCCCCCAAAATTGCAAACAGGCCTTTTTGCCAGCACATTTATATTCTGTCCATGCTTGTGTTCCTGACAGCAGACATGAGTATTTTTTTTTTCTCCTAAAGCAAAAAATAGGTCCCAAAATAAATCATGAATGACAGTGGCTAAATGAGTTCAAAACAAGAGAAAAAGCATTAAGGATGTGAATAAACAGAAGGTTTATRCCAGGGAAAGCTGGGGAACGGAGGAGCCTTCCAGGATAAAATCAGCTGTGCTGTGGTTTGATGAACTGCACGACATTTTTAGCATCACATCAAATTCCAGTCCTGCTTCCAGGCCATTACAACTGTGGCAGAACTAAACCTTCTAAAAAAGAAGAAAACCTGAGAAACAGTAAAAAAATATGAATAGGTGCTCCACTGGTTGGCATGGTTCTAGTGCCATTGCTGACCTCGAGCTGGTGTCAGAKAAAGTTGATCCAACTGAATATTTTACGGAGTGGAAGCAGGGACAGGGAACCTGGTTATGTGGAATCCTGGGGGACCTCGACCTACAAATAACTGAAAGATTGCAGAAAACCTGAGCAGCAGGTTGGAAAATGACTCTGCTGCTCTTCTTGCTTGGGATTTTACAACCCACAGCTTAAAACAACCCACAAAAACGCTGTAAGTTTCACAGGTCCCGATGATACTCAAGAGCTGAACACCCTGGTGAGACCCCAGCACAACCCTGCCCCAAACACTGGGCTGGAAAGGTTGGCTTGCAGCCTACAGAAACGAAATGCTGAGCGCTTCCCTTGGAATTGCATGCTGTGACAGTGACAGGGTTAATGAGAAAACACAGTTTATCAAATTCTTGCTGCCAAGRAAAGGAAATGCCTCCAAAAGGGACATAATCTATAGGGCAGGCCTGCACTGAGGGGCTTGTGCTCCCCCAAAYAAACTCTGTGATAATAATGCCTGAAAAAAATCTCCAGCTGTGTATACGAAGCGTGCTGAGAGCTGAAAAGACTTTGTGCCAGGCCAGATAAATGGTTTTTCTCTCTTTTTTTTTTTTCTTGCATTTTATTTTCAAGTATTCAGAGAACACTTGATATTCCCTAAACCAGGCTGTCAGTAAGACCCCTGCTGGAAATCMTGAGGGCTCCTAAACTGCTCTAGATCTGTTCACCCTCGGGAGGTTTCATTTCAGGTGAAAAGAAACACAAATATTCTCAACAGCCCTCAGTAATCTTGTTGGAGTTTCTAATCCTTCTGCATACCTTTTTTTTTTTTTTTTTTTTTTTTTTTTTTTTTAAAAAAAAAAAAAAAAAAAAAAAAAAAAAAAAAAAAAAAAAAAAAAAAAAAAAAAGTAGTGTGCTTTAAAGTACACATATCATATATATAGATGTATATTTAATAATGCAAATCTCTACACTTACAGTTCTGACCCTTCACATTCTTGACCCATTGCTCGTTCTTCGTCCTTCAAAACATCTTCTGGGAAGGTGAAAAGATTTTTGGGATGAAAAATTACAAATAGCTTTAATGGTATATTTCTATCCTGAAAAAAAAAAAATTCCATGCTTTCCACAGTGTCACATATGAACACAGAAAATTTACGCCTTGTCCTTTGAGTTGCAGCTGCCTTAACTGAACTTTTCACACTGTGTACACAGATTTTCATTCAATAAATTATTTGGCTTTAGAAGTATTCCAGAAGATATTCCTGTCATGCYACAATATACTTTGGGAGGATAATAAAGTGCCCTACCAAAGCTTTTTTAAATTATCAAGATCTGAGAGTTTCACGTAAGTTGTATATTACAGTATTTCTACCCATAGAGGAAAAAGTRGGTAATATTTAGTGAAGCCAATGCCGGTATTTTCAATTAAAAATACGCTCATGTTTCTTCTCTTTATGTGTACATGTATTTATATACATATTTATATACATACTTTAATATAAAAATATATACACATATATATGTATTTATATGCATATTTCTACATATATGCATATTTATATACATATTTTATATTTAAATATGTGCACATATACATATTTATATGCATATTTATATACATAAATATGTATATGTACACATATATATGTATATATATACACACACATATACATATACATATACATATACATATACATATACATATACATGCCTTTAAACCCTCTCCAGAAAACCCCAATGGAATAAAATACAGTTCAAAATAAGTAATTATTTTTTTGTAACAATCTAGATTCACCACAGTATGGCTTCACCTTCCTGCTGTGGTTCTTGCTGGCAAGAAGATGATTTACCACAGCTGTACTGTTGAAAACCTCCTGTGTCTGCAAAACTGAACCTGAAATTTGATGGGAAAATCTTCCCTTGGCAAGGCTGCACCACTTTTGTTTTGGCAAAAAAAAGCCAAGAACATCCAACTGTGGCCCTGGCAGGGAAATGTCTACCCAGATTCCCATTTAACTCAAGGCTCACCAGCACTTGAAAGGCAAAATTGAGTTGACTTTTCCTCCCTTGACGTGGACTGTGCCTTGCCTGTTCTTGCCACGGGCACAGCGAGGCTCCGCTCAGCTTGGCTTCTGTTCTGCTCTGCTGCACTCACCCAACAAAGGCTTCACAGCCATTCTGTGGGCTGAGTCACTGCCTGGCTGCATGTTGGCATGGACTTGTCTTCTCGAGCAGGTGCTGACAGACCTGAGCTCACTCTGCCTGCCCTCCTCGCTGCCTGGAGGAAAGCCAGGTCCAGTCCAGAAATTATTCTGTAGAAACTCTTCTTTAAAAAAAAATCTTATTTTTTGTACAGATAATATACACTGCCTGCAAGTTTTGGCAGGGAAAAGTTATCATAAGGTAAAACATTCTCTAAGCAGTGGGCAAAAGCAGTTGTCACACAGATGGAACATCTTCTGAGCTTAAACTGAGGCAGGACAGAGATGTTATCTATGCCAGGAAGTCATGACAACCACTCTGGAGCTTCACAGCTCCTGCAGTTTCTCTCAGCTTGTGAAACATGGTGAAAATCTCATTTCTTCAGAGCTCTGTGGCATCCAAAAGTGCCCTGAGAGCTGCTGGGCCTTTGTGATTTAGAAATCCCAGTAGACAGTGTCTTGTTGTCACCTCCTGCTGTCACAGCCCAGGTGACATTTCTCAGCTCTGCCCAGTGGAGACAATTTTGGGAAGGGGGTTTTGATTTGCACGTGTCACATACGCTGTCGTAAAACCCAAATATTTTCAGCCTGTTGTTGTGAAGAGAGACCCTTAGATGGGATGGTAATGGACCATGAGAGGCKCCTTGGCTGTCTCCTGGGCACGCTGGGGTGTGATGAGGGGAGGCAAAGACACCTCCTTCTTAAACACAGTGACAGTCCCRCCTTTTATGTTATTTAATTGTCATCTCTCATAATTTATTTGTTTTTTCCCCTGCCTCACTGAAATAAAATGGAAAATACAAATCAGAAGGAAAAGAAGCTTCTTTTTTACCCTTATTTTCTACCCACAGCATGCACTCAGTTTTGAGTTAAATGAATGCTTTTTGTTACATCTAAAACCAAGAGGGAAAGCCAATGGTTTTTAATCAGCTTCAGATGAAGGTGGGAGCTTACCTCTGATTGCAAGGGTTCAGTTTTTTAAAACCCTTTAAAATATTATCCATTTTAACTGCAACACCTCTCAGATGTCTTCTGTTATGGCCCTTCTACATTTGTGCATTGAGCAGTTTCACAACTGACAGCCGTGCAGTAGAAATTACACATCTCCAGGTTTATTTAAACCCCCTGGCCTACTGCTGTCATACAATGCCTACTGATTCTACAGAGGAAAAACAACCCTAAAATTTGCATTTTGTGTAAAATTCGAACATTATTGTGAGGTGTACTGTGTAAAGGACACTTACACAGTAAGTGTAAGTGTGAGCTGCTTAACTCATGTACACACAGGATGAAATCCAGATTTCTTTTGTCAAAACTTCATCGCAGGAGGTGAGGGAGGAAAGATGGAGGCACCAAGCTTTTCTTATCCTAAAATAAGGCAGGTGTTTCACTGTGCACCAAAGGAAAAGGTTTTCCTCTCTGCCTGGACTCTGTTTTTGTGCAGCAGCAGCTCAGCTGCAGATGATTCTGCAGCATCAGAATGACCCCAAGAGCAATGCAATATTAGAGAAGGGCACACATTATTGGAGATGAAARCACTCTGCCCTCCACCAGAGAAATCCACAGGGCCACCAGGGCAAGAATTGCACTTTTTTTACAACATAAAAAGTCGACAACAGGAGAAGTGGCAGAAGCTGGGGCCTCAGGCAAACCTGTTATGTTGATAACCATGATTTTTTGTTTTTTCTTTGTCCTTCATATAATCAAATATATTTGTACATCAATTCTCTCTGACACACATTCAATATGTAGTTGTTTATCTCTTCTGGTCACCATGACTAGGTAAGTAATTTTCATATATCTCACTTGATTAAACATAATTTTGGCTTGAGTACACTGAAAAACAGAAAAATACAGTGAAATATGAAATATTTTTAGAAAAAAAGTGCCATTCCTACATTACAAATTTTCCATCTTTTCATGTGAACACTACAAAGTAAAGAAAGAGTGAGGATTGTCAAAGTCCTTAATTTGAAAGATTTGAAAGGACTATCAAAAAAGCTCRGTTTGAGTTAATGAGTTAAAACTGGACAGTTTTTCCTGCACAAGTTGCTGCCAGCCTTCCAGAAAAAAAAAATGGAAACTTATTCCAATATTTGTTTAAATAACACTTGTTTTTTTTTTTTTTCTCCTAAATTGTGTTTTCATTGCCTGTTTATTCATTACTTCCATGTTTTTAACAACTTCACACGAAGATAAATTCTCACGAACATGTGATTGTCAGAGATTTAAGAGGCTGTAGCTGCTTTTTATACTGAAGACACACAAGAAATCCTCCAGGTTTTTAGGGGATCAGTCGGGAGCACCATCCTGTTTTGGCTGCAGCAGTCAACCCCAATTTTGTGAGAAGGTTTAGGAGGAGCTGTGGTGCCAGGCACGTTGTTTGATGTTCACAACGCCCCGTGGTGTGTGCCTTTTGAATGTTTTGGTGATGAGTCCTCAGGCARGCTGCCACAGGCACAAGGGATGCTTGGATGGCTCTGGGCCATTCTGAGTGCTGCTACATTCACCTGGGTCTGTGCAGCATCACAAAAATAAAATCTCAATAAAATGACAATTCCAAGGTACAGCRCAAGCTCTCTAAATGTGCAAACATTTTTTTCTTTCTCTCTTTTTTTTTTCTCCCATCCTTTTGCTGCTGTATTCTTTAGATGTTGGGGTTTTTGTAACTCACTGAGTTGGTTTTCTCACTGGAAAAAGTCTCCAAAGCTCTGTGAGAGGCAGTGCCAGGACTGCAGGGTGTGCTGATGGAAACAGGAGGAGAGGCTCTGTCCCCTATTTCCACCTGGATTTACCAAAGACTCTTTTCACAGGGACAGTGAACTTCYACCAATGATTTACGATGATATTGCTAAACACTGCCTATTTTAATAAAACAGTCTGTGTAAAGATATTTAAACAGTCCCTCATCACACAGTATCTCAGATTAGCTTACCTGGTGATTTGGCTAGTGTAAAATTTTGCTATTATTATTGATTATTCTAAAAGGTGCTGACACACAAGGATAACTGCAGAGCTGGGCTTCCTTCACAGCTATTCCAGGACATTCCAGCCTCATATCCCATTTCAACAAAAGCATTCTGGTTCATRTTTCAACCATAACTTTGCATTATTTATCACGTTTCAGGATGAACTTCRAAGAAATATGCCTAGAAATAATTTACCTTGTAGGCCTAGAGTGCCCCTTACCTCTAGGTAATAAATAAATAAAAAAATAATAAAAAATAAACCCTTTAAAAATATATAAAAACAAAACAAAAACAGACTCTCTTTTAAAAGAGAGTCCCTGGGGTGGTTTTTGGCTGCCCCAAGCCTATGTGAAGGGAGCTTCTCTCTGCTCTGACTCAGGGCACCATGGCCCCTGCTGGCACAGGTTTCTCCTCTCCAAATCAAGAATGTGCCACAGGGATCTGACTTTCCCACCAGTGGGTGAWGCTCTCATTAGTCACCAACCCAAACAAAAGGAGAGGCAGCACTCTGTCACTTTTTGAGAGAGAACAGTGGTGTTAATCTTCATTTTGACAATAGACTTTTACCAAGGTGTTAATTTCGTTTAGGTTCTACTTTGGTTTGCTGTTGTTGCCTCGACTCCTTTCTTGCCCACCTTTGAGGAGGGATGGTGTGCCCTGTCATGCTCAGCTCGATAAATTACACCAGCACGAGGATGAGCACTCTCCAGGATCAGCCTTGGGAAGGARTGATTAAAGCCTGGCTTTTCTCCAAAATCTGAAAGTGCTCTCATTACCTGGGAGACACTGGTTTGTACCTTCTGCATGCCTGAAACAGGGTGCCTGGCTGTCTGCTTCTGAGCTGTAAAATGCCACACAGTGGGCTTTGTTTGACCTGTTGTGGATTGAATTAAGGCTTTGCMGGGTCTGCCAGAAAAGGTAATTTTCATATAATACAGATAAAGTTATACACACACACACAGACACAAAACAAAGGTGTTGAGAATGTTTCTAGCACCTCAGTTATCCTCATATGAAGGGTTCAGGGTCTTCATCAGGCAGGGTGGGGGCACATCAGAGTGGCCTGGATCACATTTTGTGTCTGACCCCATTAATTTGCTCTGAGGAGGTGCTGTGTGCGTGCTTACTGTGGCAGCCCCAGAACACCAGGAAAGAATTCAGATCCTCAGCAGATACTGAGTAGCAGAATACAAGTGAAACCACTGATTTTTCAAGGATTCTTTTTGTGAACCCAGTTGCACCTGTCCCTTTTTCTCCAAGTGGTTTCCAGACCAAAGAGCCACATGTTTTTTCTTTCTCCTTCCTTTCTCCACTGAACATCCCCTTCACACAGACAGATGTGCTTGGAGCATGGTTGTGCTCATTTCCATGCAAAGTTTAATCCCTTCTTTTGACTGCCATCMAGAGCTGTCATTAAAATGTTCTCTCCTTCTTTCACGTTGGATTCAGGGTTATGCTCTCTTGTGCTGAATTTGGGCTCAGACAGTGATGTACCAGAGAAATCTTTGCTAAATGAGAAGTCCAGCTTGTGTATTCAGGGCTGTCCACTCAGAGAGCAGCAGCAGTCTTCATTTAGACTGTGGAAAAGCTGCCCTTCCATGTTTATCTCTGTGGTGGTAATCTGGAGACAGGAAAATCCTTAAGACAAAGTATGAGTAAATGAGGTAAATTCACAGCAAGGCTTAAAAGCAATCTGAGGTCCTGTGGGGGGAGAATGAAGGTAGGCTTAAGAGGAATGTGAAATGTAAACATGAGCACAAAAGGCAGCATGGAAAAAAAACCCAAAAAACTTTCATGGCTCAGGACTCAGTTTAAAAAAAAAAGAAAAAAGAAGYGTATCCACACAGGACACAGAAATTKATCACAGAAACCATCTTTGGGYGTCCTCATCTCAGAAGGAAATCTGAACCCAAAAAGAGACCTAAACAGGAAACAGGAGCAACAAAGAGTGTGTAAATGCTGTGTCAGTTTACCTGATCTCATATTTCTTCCGTGGGTGAAAGGAATGC